TTGGGGGCCTGTAAATCACTCCCATAATTAGTTTTTCTCTTCCTTCCGTGATTTCTACCCACACAGACTCGGTTCCTATTTCACCCTTTATTGAATTATTAATACAACATTTTAATGTATCCTTGACGAAGAGTGCGACCCCTCCCCCCTTCCTACCTTCCCTGTCCTTGTGAAAAAGGTTGTACCCTTCTATGTGGTACTCTGATAAAAAAATTTTGCTCGCCAGATTCATCCAAGTTTCGGTGATTGCTATGACGTCTACATTCTCGGTACATACAACCGCTCTCAGCAAGTCTATTTTATTTCTAACGCTCCTACTGTTTGTATAGTATACATTTAAACCTACCCTTCCCTGGTCCTGTTTTACCCCTTGTCCTGAGCAACTAATTTTACTTCCCAGGACCTGCTTGTTTTTTGACTCCCACTTTCCCCGACCCCTCTCTACTGGCGAAACCCCCCCTTCGGAGTGACAATTTCACGCTCCAGGGATGCAGACAACGTCTTTACCCCCTCACGAGACAAGTGTACTCTGTCGCGACAGTACAGGTAGTCGTTGCCATAGAATCGTTGCCAGTTATCAATGAATGCCCAACCATTGTTTGCACAATGTTTCTCCAGTCGGCAATTTATAGCAATTGCCCTGGACAGCCATTCACGACCAACCCCTCTTCTAGGCAAGACTCCACATACTATCGGGATCCCTCCGTATCTCTAATCTTCCCCAGCGCCTCCCTATACCTCTTGAAAAGTTGCTCACTCCTAACCTTACCTATGTCGTTTCCTCCCACACTAAGACACACTACTGGATTGGTACCCTCCCCTGACAAAACCCTGTCTAACCTCTCGGCTACATGCCCTATCCCAGCTCCAGGAAAACACACCCTAGTCCTACGTTTCCTATCTCTCGCACAAAAAGCCCTATCTACAAACCTCACCTGGCTGTCCCCAACTACCACGACCTTACCTGTGGGCAGGGTTTGTACAACTGCCCTTTCCTCTCCTTGATCCATACCGTCCTGCCTCTTCTCTTCCTTGCCAGCTTCCTCCAGCACCTGGTAAGGGTTACTACGCTCCACACCCTGGTCAGCTTTCCTGAGCCTGACCCTAGTCCCCTTGGAAACAACCACTCTCCACGCCTGCTCCTCCTTCGCAGGTGTCCTGCTAGGCAAGACACCTACCTGAAGGAGTTCCGTCCTGAGGGCTTCATTTTCCCCCTTTACTGTAAGTGAGTGAGCTCTCTGGGGAACAACTTCCTACATGAGGGTGACGACCAAGGAGTCTCTTCAACTTGATGTGTGTTGTTTTCCCTCCGTAAAAAAATAAATTGTGACGTGAATTTGGTGATGAAAATGGAGTGAAAATTGTACTAAGACTCTAGGATAAGTTGGTGTGTTTTCTGTGACGTAAACAAGAAGGGCGCCTCTAATGCTCCGTGCGCTAGACTAGTTGTGATAAGAACATAAGAATGGAGGAAACTGCAGCGGGCCTATTGGCCCATACTGGGCATTCCCATTTACATCCAACCCCTATTGCTCATATATCCATCCAACCCCTATTGCTCATATATCCATCCAACCCCTATTGCTCATATATCCATCCAACCCCTATTGCTCATATATCCATCCAACCCCTATTGCTCATATATCCATCCAACCCCTATTGCTCATATATCCATCCAACCTATGTTTGAAGCTATCCAGCTTATTCCAGTTAATGATGATATTTTGTAACTTGTTCCACTCGTCCACTACTCTATTTCCAAACCAATGTTTACCTATTTCGCGCCCAAATCTGAATTTGTCTAATTTAAAACCATTGTTACGAGTTCGCTCCTGGTTGGATAGTCTGAGTACCTCTGTAATGTCCCCTTTGTTCAGCCCCGACTTCCATTTATACAATTCTATCAGGTCGCCCCTCGCTCTACGTCTCTCGAGGGAGTGCAAATTTAGATGCTTTAACCTGTCTCTATACTCAAGGTTCCTAATGCCCGGGATTAGTCTTGTCATTCTCCTCTGAATTCTTTCCAAGGATTCTATATCCATTCTGGAATACGGTGACCAGAACTGAACTGCATAATCCAGGTGTGGTCTCACAAGAGCAAGATACAGTTTTAGGATGACCTCGCTAGTCTTGTAACTAACACTCCTTTGTATGAACCCAAGTACTTTATTAGCCTTGTTACGAGCAAATACACATTGTTTAATTGGCTTAAGATTCCTACTTATCATTACTCCTAAATCTTTCTCGCAGTCGGATTTCTTCCTGTAGTTTTGCGGAGTTCTCCTCAGATTTAATCACACGTTCTATTTTAGTGTCGTCAGCAAATTTACTTATGTTGCTGTCTACGCCAATATCTATTTCGTTTATGTATATCATAAATAATAATGGTCCAAGTACTGAGCCTTGGGGAACTCCATTCGGATTCAGTGCCGTTAATGCTCACTCGCTGTTTTCTGTCCTGTAACCACGCTCTAATCCATTTTAGAGTATCTCCTTTATTGCCATGAGCCTCCACTTTTCTTATTAGTCTTTCGTGGGGGACTCTGTCGAAGGATTTGCTAAAGTCGAGATATACCACATCATAATTTTGCCCCTCGTCCACTGATTCGAAAACAGATGAAAAGAATGTTTATATATTAGTTAGACATGAACGCCCACTTGTGAAGCCATGTTGAGAAACATTGATCAACTTGTGCAACAGGTGACAGGAGGGAGAGACACCGGGTGATAGTGGGAGGCTGGTGGCTAAATCAGGCTTAAGAGAGTAGGGATGAGAGTAAATATATGAGTACAATAGCGACCACAAAAGTCCCTCAACCCTTGGCAGTAATTGTTTGGTGTTTAACTGATGAACGATGCTTTTCATGTTATAAATAGGTCAGAATAACGTGGAAAAAAGACCCGATCACGAACACCAAGAAATATTTCCATATACAAATGTCCAGATCTCAATCCCTCCTTCCCTACACGGCACTCACGACGCTTCAAGAAGATGCCAAGTGTTGCCAAAAGGGTTGAGGGAGTTATTGTGTAGGGGAGAAGAAGATTGAAGGTTGACAGGGGGTAGGGAGTAGTGGTGAATTGAGAGGGATAGGGGTGCGTGATAGGATTGCAAGGGGTAGGTGAACAAGGGGGCTAGGGGCAGATGGACCAAGAAACCATTCATGCAACACAAGTTTTTAACAGGGTTAGTCGATGATGAAAATTTGTGACCACCTTGCAACACACACACTGTTTGGTAGGACCATGGTCTAACTATGCCAATGAAACAGTTTATTTAGCCATGGGTATGACATGTGGCGTAGGATCTTGTAAGTAGCCTTCCCTTAACTGTACGATGGCTTAAACGTGTGTGTGTGTGTGCGTGTGCGAGTGCGTGTGCGTGTGTGTGTGTGTGTGCGTGTGCGTGTGCGTGTGCGTGTGTGTGTGTGTGTGTGTGTGTGTGTGTGTGTGTGTGTGTGTGTGTGTGTGTGTGTGTGTGTGTGTGTTGCAGCCGTTTTTATTGCCCACCAATAAATTCATCTCCATTGTGAGGCAACTCCACGATGGTATGAACGGCAGTGTCCTGCACAATGACACCCAGTCTGAGTTCTTACCTTTCCAAACGGGGGTTAAACAAGGGTGTGTACTGGCACCAACTCTCTTTTCCATTTTCTTGGCTGCCTTCCTTACTCTTGCACATATGCAACATTTGTGGACGACACTGCCGGTCCCGTATCGGCCTCTCTAATCAGCTCAGAGCTCACCAACGAAGGTGACATCCTAATAACTCATATCATTGTATTATAGCTCAATGATCGTCAAACTCGATTCCGAGTGACAGCAAAGTAGTAGTAGTAGTGTGTGTATGTGTGTGTGTGTGTGTGTGTAATAATAATAATAATAATAATAATAATAAACGGTTTATTAATAGAGTTGCAGCCGGTGGCTGAAAATATACACTTACATTTGATTTAGACATAATGATATAATATGCATTGAATACATTTACAGGGCTGTACAGTACATAAATCAGGAGTTGTTTATTATTTTAACAATAGATGGGATGGTGCTATTCTTATATCTATCGGTGCGGGCTCTTATGGGCTGAATTTTGTTGTAGTGGCGGACTGCGCGAGGTGGGTGGGGGGCTGCAGGTGGCATGAGGTGGTGATGACGAGGGTGGTGCAATAGTGGCTGCCAAACCTTTCCAGTGCTTGGTGGTGGAGGTCACTGAGGGATGGCATTTTGTGTGTGTGTGTGTGTGTGTGTGTGCCAGAGGATGTCTGAGAGTGCCAGGGGATGTCTGAGAGTGCCAGGGGATGTCTGAGAGTGCCAGGGGATGTCTGAGAGTGCCAGGGGATGTCTGAGAGTGCCAGGGGATGTCTGAGAGTGCCAGGGGATGTCTGAGAGTGCCAGGGGTTAGGATAGGTTTGGTTTTAGGTTTGGTTAGGTTAGGTTAGGTTAGAGCTGGTTTGGTTAGAATTTGTTAGGTTTAGTGGGGTTTGGTTAGGTTTAGTGAGGTGAGGTTTGGTTAGGTTAGGTTCAGTTAGGTTGGGTTAAGTTTGATTAGGTTAGGTTAAGTTTCTTAGATTAGATAGGGTTACGTTAAGTTAGGTTAGGTTAAGTTTAGTTAGATTAGGGTTTTGATCGTGTATCTTGGTTTGGTTAACATCAAACAGTGTGATTGAAATAAATTAATTTAGTATATGTTCTGTTAATTGTGATCAGAAACAGTTCCTTCAGTTTATATATAAATGATATTTAGTGTGGTGACCTGTAAACACGGCAGTGCCTCGCCTTGCACAGGGTGTAAGCCGTAAGGGGACCGAGCCTTAAATTTTCAGTAAAAATCTTTAGAGTTACTTTGGATATTCCGTTCCTTATACTTTTTTCTTTGTTCTTTATTTTCCAGAAAATTTTGGAGTGAGGATTCAGGCATGGGCATCGACGCCGACACTCTCGGCGTATATTTTGATGTCAACTGATACCGATTTTCACTCATGGCCTTTTCCTTTTTGTTAACTGAAAGCTTTTGTGCTCGTGTCCGGAGTCGTGTGCGAACTTTGCCTGGGGTGGGGGCCTCGTGGACAGTGGGGGCCTCGACAGTGGGGGTGGACAGTGGGGGCCGTGGACAGTGGGGGTGGACCCTCGTGGACAGTGAGGGTCTCGTGGACAGTGGGGGTCTCGTGGACAGTGGACAGTGGGTCTCGTGGACAGTGAGGGTGGACAGTGGGGGCCTCGTGGACAGTGAGGGTCTCGTGGACAGTGGGGCCTCGTGAACAGTGGGGCCTCGTGGACAGTGAGGGTCTCGTGGACAGTGAGGGTCTCGTGGACAGTGGGGGTCTCGTGGACAGTGAGGGCTCGTGGACAGTGGGGGCCTCGTGGACAGTGGGGGCCTCGTGGACAGTGGGGCCGTGGACAGTGGGGTCTCGTGGACAGTGAGGGGTCTCGTGGACAGTGGGGGCCTCGTGAACAGTGGGGACCTCGTGGACAGTGGGGGCCTCGTGGACAGTGGGGGGTCTCGTGGACAGTGGGAGTCTCGTGGACAGTGGGGACCTCGTGAACAGTGGGGGCCTCGTGGACAGTGGGGGCCTCGTGGTGACAGTGGGGGTGGGGGCCTCGTGGACAGTGGGGGCCTCGTGGACAGTGGGGGCCTCGTGGACAGTGGGGGCAGTGGGGGCCTCGTGGACAGTGGGGGCCTCGTGGACAGTGGGGGCCTCGTGGACAGTGAGGGGTCTCGTGGACAGTGAGGGTCTCGTGGACAGTGGGGCCTCGTGAACAGTGGGGACCTCGTGGACAGTGGGGGCCTCGTGGACAGTGAGGGTCTCGTGGACAGTGGGAGTCTCGTGGACAGTGGGACCTCGTGAACAGTGGGGGCCTCGTGGACAGTGGGGGCCTCGTGGACAGTGGGGGCCTCGTGCACAGTGGGGCCTCGTGGACAGTGGGGGCCTCGTGGACAGTGGGGGCCTCTGGTGAACAGTGGGGGCCTCGTGGACAGTGGGGGCCTCGTGGACAGTGGGGGCCTCGTGGACAGTGGGGGCCTCGTGAACAGTGGGGGCCTCGTGAACAGTGGGGGCCTCGTGAACAGTGGGGACATTCTTGGGTTCGTAGTGCTCTGAATAACTGCACTTAAGTTCCTATATCCGGATCTGTTTATGGTACTAGTCTTTATTATCAGTCCCTTTAGTAACTTAGTCCCAAGATTTTTGCCATTTTTAGGCCAAGCAATAAATTAGGACAATAGTGCCCAAGCTCAGTACAATTACGATATTGATTATCATTATTTCCCTTATCGAAATTGACTGAGACTCCAGTATTTTGATATTATGTTTATTTTCTTCTAATTATTTTTTCTTATTTATAACCGAAGCCAGTGGACTGATAACCGTCCACCACCCTGAAGTGGGAGGGTCATCTTTTAGGGAGGTAAATGTGGGAAGAGGTTTGACCGTCGATAAAATCCACCCGCTTAAAGGGATACTGTGTAAAAACTTTTATTCGTCCAATTTAACCCTTAATTATTCCCCTAGAGCTAAAAGTTCGTCGTTGACGCTTTCAACGATGCTCCAAGCAATAAGAAATATCCCCACGCATATTATGATTAGGGAGAGAATCACCTTTTATGTGTTCATATTTGTTTGGATTACTGACATAACAGTTACTTGTGTCTGGCTTTCTACAACATATGTGGACCAGTAAGTTAGTTAGGTTGGATACCTATCCATCTACAGTAGCTTTATGTAGTTCATTGAGTGTAGTGTAGGCAGTGTATAGTGCATACAGTGTAATGTATTGTGTGTAGTGTAGATAGATTGTTATGTGTAATTTACATTACATAGTGTAGTTTATTGTACCATGTGTAGGGTAGTGTACATAGTGTAGTTTAGATAGTGTATTATGTGTAATATACAGTACATAATGTGCCATGTGTACTGTATCAGTGTAGTGTACCATGTGTAGTGTAGAGTAGATAGTGTATTATGTGTAATGTACAGTACATAGTGTACCATGTGTGGTGTAGAGTAGTGTAGTGTACCATGTGTGGTGTAGAGTAGTGTAGTGTATCATGTGTAGTGTAGTGTAGATAGTGTATTATGTGTAATGTGCAGTACATAGTGTACCATGTGTAGTGTAGAGTAGATAGTGTATTATGTGTAATGTACAGTACATAGTGTACCATGTGTGGTGTAGTGTAGTGTACCATGTGTAGTGTAGAGTAGATAGTGTATTATGTGTAATGTACAGTACATAGTGTACCATGTGTAGTGTAGTGTAGTGTACCATGTGTAGTGTAGATGTAGTAATAGTCAGTGTGTGTGTGGTGTAGTGTACCATGTGTAGTGTAGAGTAGATAGTGTATTATGTGTAATGCAGTACATAGTGTACCATGTGTGGTGTAGTGTAGTGTACCATGTGTAGTGTAGAGTAGATAGTGTATTATGTGTAATGTACAGTACATAGTGTACCATGTGTAGTGTAGTGTAGTGTACCATGTGTAGTGTAGAGTAGATAGTGTATTATGTGTAATGTACAGTACATAGTGTACCATGTGTGGTGTAGTGTAGTGTACCATGTGTAGTGTAGATGGTGTATTATGTGTAATGTATAGTACATAGTATACCATGTGTGGTGTAGTGTAGTGTATCATGTGTGGTGTAGTGTAGTGTACCATGTGTAGTGTAGATAGTGTATTATGTGTAATGTACAGTACATAGTGTACCATGTGTGGTGTAGAGTAGTGTAGTGTACCATGTGTGGTGTAGTGTAGTGTACCATGTGTACTGTAGTGTAGTGTACCATGTGTGATGTAGTGTAGCGTACCATGTGTGGTGTAGTGTAGCGTACCATGTGTACTGTAGTGTAGTGTACCATGTGTGGTGTAGTGTAGTGTACCATGTGTGGTGTAGTGTAGTGTACCATGTGTGGTGTAGTGTAGTTCACCATGTGTTGTGTAGAAAGTGTGTAGTGTACCATGTGTGGTGTAGTGTAGTGTGCCATGTGTGTGTAGTGTAGTGTGTGTACCATGTGTGGTGTAGTGTAGTGTACCATGTGTGGTGTAGTGTAGTGTACCATGTGTGGTGTAGAGTAGTGTAGTGTACCATGTGTGGTGTAGAGTAGTGTAGTGTACCATGTGTGCTGTAGTGTAGATAGTGTATTATGTGTAATGTACAGTACATAGTGTACCATGTGTGGTGTAGTGTAGTGTACCATGTGTGGTGTAGTGTAGTGTACCATGTGTGGTGTAGAGTAGTGTAGTGTACCATGTGTGCTGTAGTGTAGATAGTGTATTATGTGTAATGTACAGTACATAGTGCACCATGTGTGGTGTAGTGTAGTGTGCCATGTGTACTGTAGTGTAGATAGTGTATTATGTGTAATGTACAGTACATAGTGTACCATATGTGGTGTAGTGTAGTGTACCATGTGTGGTGTAGTGTAGATAGTGTATTATGTGTAATGTACAGTACATAGTGTACCATATGTGGTGTAGTGTAGTGTAGTGTACCATGTGTGGTGTAGTGTAGTATACCATGTGTAGTGTAGTGTAGATAGTGCATTTTGTGTAATGTACAGTACATAGTGTACCATGTGTACTGTAGTGTAGTGTAGTGTACCATGTGTGGTGTAGTGTAGTGTGGCATGTGTACTGTAGTGTAGTGTAGTGTACCATGTGTAGTGTACTGTAGATAGTGTATTATGTGTAATGTACAGTACATAGTGTACCATGAGTGGTGTAGTGTGCCATGTGTACTGTAGTGTAGTGTAGTGTAGTGTACCATGTGTAGTGTACTGTAGATAGTGTATTATGTGTAATGTACAGCACATAGTGTACCATGTGTGCTGTAGTGTAGTGTACCATGTGTGGTGCAGTGTAGTGTACCATGTGTGGTGTAGTGTAGTATACCATGTGTAGTGTAATGTAAATAGTGTATTATGTGTAATGTACAGTAAATAGTGTACCATATGTGGTGTAGTGTAGTATAGATAGTGTATTATGTGTAATGTACAGTACATAGTGTACCATATGTGGTGTAGTGTAGTATAGATAGTGTATTATGTGTAATGTACAGTACATAGTGTGCCATGTGTACTGTAGTGTAGTGTAGTGTACCATGTATAGTGTAGTGTAGATAGTGTATTATGTGTAATGTACAGCACATAGTGTACCATGTGTGGTGTAGAGTAGTGTAGTGTACCATGTGTGGTGTAGAGTAGTGTAGTGTATCATGTGTAGTGTAGTGTAGATAGTGTATTATGTGTAATGTGCAGTACATAGTGTACCATGTGTAGTGTAGAGTAGATAGTGTATTATGTGTAATGTACAGTACATAGTGTACCATGTGTGGTGTAGTGTAGTGTACCATGTGTAGTGTAGAGTAGATAGTGTATTATGTGTAATGTACAGTACATAGTGTACCATGTGTAGTGTAGTGTAGTGTACCATGTGTAGTGTAGAGTAGATAGTGTATTATGTGTAATGTACAGTACATAGTGTACCATGTGTGGTGTAGTGTAGTGTAGTGTACCATGTGTAGTGTAGATGGTGTATTATGTGTAATGTACAGTACATAGTGTACCATGTGTAGTGTAGTGTAGTGTACCATGTGTAGTGTAGAGTAGATGGTGTATTATGTGTAATGTACAGTACATAGTGTACCATGTGTAGTGTAGTGTAGTGTACCATGTGTAGTGTAGAGTAGATAGTGTATTATGTGTAATGTACAGTACATAGTGTACCATGTGTGGTGTAGTGTAGTGTACCATGTGTAGTGTAGAGTAGATAGTGTATTATGTGTAATGTACAGTACATAGTGTACCATGTGTAGTGTAGTGTAGTGTACCATGTGTAGTGTAGAGTAGATAGTGTATTATGTGTAATGTACAGTACATAGTGTACCATGTGTGGTGTAGTGTAGTGTACCATGTGTAGTGTAGATGGTGTATTATGTGTAATGTATAGTACATAGTATACCATGTGTGGTGTAGTGTAGTGTATCATGTGTGGTGTAGTGTAGTGTACCATGTGTAGTGTAGATAGTGTATTATGTGTAATGTACAGTACATAGTGTACCATGTGTGGTGTAGAGTAGTGTAGTGTACCATGTGTGGTGTAGTGTAGTGTACCATGTGTGCTGTAGTGTAGTGTACCATGTGTGATGTACCATGTGTGGTGTGTGTGTACCATGTGTGTAGTGTAGTGTACCATGTGTGGTGTAGTGTAGTGTACCATGTGTGGTGTGTGTGTGTCACCATGTGTGGTGTAGTACCATGTGTGGTGTGTAGTGTAGTGTACCATGTGTGGTGTGGTGTAGTGTACCATGTGTACTGTAGTGTAGTGTACCATGTGTGGTGTAGTGTAGTGTACCATGTGTGGTGTAGTGTAGTGTACCATGTGTGGTGTAGTGTAGTGTACCATGTGTGGTGTAGAGTAGTGTAGTGTACCATGTGTGGTGTAGAAGTAGTGTAGTGTACCATGTGTGCTGTAGTGTAGATAGTGTATTATGTGTAATGTACAGTACATAGTGTACCATGTGTGGTGTAGTGTAGTGTACCATGTGTGGTGTAGTGTAGTGTACCATGTGTGGTGTAGAGTAGTGTAGTGTACCATGTGTGCTGTAGTGTAGATAGTGTATTATGTGTAATGTACAGTACATAGTGCACCATGTGTGGTGTAGTGTAGTGTGCCATGTGTACTGTAGTGTAGATAGTGTATTATGTGTAATGTACAGTACATAGTGTACCATATGTGGTGTAGTGTAGTGTAGTGTACCATGTGTGGTGTAGTGTAGATAGTGTATTATGTGTAATGTACAGTACATAGTGTACCATATGTGGTGTAGTGTAGTGTACCATGTGTGGTGTAGTGTAGTATACCATGTGTAGTGTAGTGTAGATAGTGCATTATGTGTAATGTACAGTACATAGTGTACCATGTGTACTGTAGTGTAGTGTAGTGTACCATGTGTGGTGTAGTGTAGTGTGCCATGTGTACTGTAGTGTAGTGTAGTGTACCATGTGTAGTGTACTGTAGATAGTGTATTATGTGTAATGTACAGCACATAGTGTACCATGTGTGGTGTAGTGTAGTGTACCATGTGTGGTGCAGTGTAGTGTACCATGTGTGGTGTAGTGTAGT